TCGAGTCCTAGCACCACGGAATAGAAGAAAACCAGATTGATTTGAAATAGTTTGGGAATTTTTTTTTTCTTCGGCGGGGGCTGGGTTTGAACCCACCACCTCTGGCATATGGGGCTGGCTCCCTACTCCTTTGAGCCACAGGTGCCACCTGCTTGGACATTTTTTATCACTGGGGAAGCCTACAAGTAATTCTGGCCAACTGCAACACCTACACCTAACTCAGAAATGTTTGTTTCCTGTCCTGGTGAGGTTTTAGCAATTTGTGACATCCCTCTCCAAATCACTGAGGGTTCAGAGCTTTCCTCTTGGCCTATGGGCATCCCAATCCAACAAGCAAAAAGGTTAAGAAACTCAGCTTAAGAGAGGGAAAAGTGGTTAGAGGCCAATAATACTGTCTCATACCAGAGGAGTTAATACATCAGACCCCCTAATATGTACTGGCAGATCCTAGAGTAAGTACCTCTCTAATCTTAAGTCCCCTTAACAATCATCTCTTTTATAAAACATTCTCAAATGTTCCAACTCCATGTTACACTCTGCTTTTCCCAAAGGATCGAATCTCACAAATGCTACCTGATACAGCTGCCACTTAACCTCAAATCCTTCTTTTGTTAGTTTTGCCTCTCACACAGATGATATGTTACTTGAGATCAGGGACTGTGTCCTTTGACTCCACACTAGAGACATGGCAGATGATCAGTAAAGATTTGTTAGTCAAAGACATTCTGTGGGGAGTGTCATTTCCATTTCCTGGAATGGGAGAGTCATGGTCCCTGATCCTAACCATTAAAATATTGGGATACTAGAAATCTGGTGTTCTTGGACATTCATCTATCAACGTAGTGCTGACTCAAACACATGGCACCACTCAGAACTAAATAGGAAATGGCAAATCACAGAAGGGGTTCCATTCATTCATTCAACAAGTAATTATTGGGTTCTAAAACTGTTTCAGCACCTGCAAGGAGCTTAAAAGAGAAAAGGGATATATGTAAGATGAAGACATACTTTCCAGTCTAGTAGACTGAGACCAGGTAATAGGCAAACCAATACAATTGGATAAAAGCACAGACAAGAGATTTAGGAGTAAGGCTATGGTAGGAAACTTTATGGAGAGGCATGTGGAAACATGACCCAGAAAGGAGTCGAGAATTGGGAACAGATTTCAACAGCTGTCTCCATTTATCAGATTGACAAATGATTAAAGCTTGACAACAACAGGTGTTGCAAAGAAGACTCATATGCTGGAATGGCATAAGTTTGTGTCAACTTTTCTGTGGGGCAATCTCACAAAATTTGCCAATATTTTTAATGTGTGTGTACATACAATTCAGCAATTTCAAACCAGGCATTTATCCAGTGGGAATAATTAAACAAATGAAAAAAGATGTTGGCACCAGTATATCATATTCAATGTGTCGTTGCTTGGAAAGGGTAAAACTGCAGTCATTTGGCCACATTTCTATCCCTGAACGAATCACAATGGCCAGAGGGTTCGGGCTTTTTGATTGGCCAGGCTTCAGTAACATAGCTCTCTTCTGATGCCAGGGGATGCAGAAGGATTGTGATTGACAGCTGAGCCTTACAGATTAGGATTAGGAAAGAGGCAGTTCCCTAAATTAAAAAAAGGAAGAGCACTATTACCAAAAGACTGAGAAGGGGAAAATCTGTAAACAAAAATCTGTAACTACCTGAGTCTACTATAGCAGTAGTCATTGGAGCACAGGGAGGAATTTTTCAGGCAGAGGGAATAAATTATTCTTTCCAGAGCCTCAGGGAGCCCTTAGAGTTTGTATGAAACATGAAAGGGGATGAGGACAAGGTGGGGAAGGCCGCTCCTAAAGAAGGAGATCCAGACTGTAAATCCAGCCATAGAAATAATTAAATACTTTGAAAGATGTGGTTCAGGCTGTGAAGTAGTTGTAGGAAAAATGTAATCAAACTAGGTAATTGAGGCATGTGATGGTTGGGGCTAGAAAAGGTCTCCAACCCTAGACGGGCCCTTGCATGTCCACATCTATGAGTGTGACATTGGCTGACCCTGTGGGTACCATTTGCTGCCGGGTGGTCAAACCACTTGAGACCTTAGTTTCCTTATCTCTAAACCAATCTATGGGCTGACTGTGAGAATGTTATGAGACCATGCATGTGAAGATACCTAACAGGGTACCAATCAGTGTCTGTCAAATCTCAGCAAGAGGAAGGCCAGGCCGGAAGTAACCCTCACATTTAAACAGAAGACCAAAAAAGGAGAAAAAGACTAAACAGCAGAGATGAACCGTGGTGGCCCCAGGAAGGGCAGAGAGGAAGCCTTGGTCTAGGGCAAAGGAAGCCCTGAAATTTAAGTAGGGGACAGCAGTGAGGGTTATAATGGCACTTTCGGCCAGAAACTATGTTGAAAAACTGGAACTTCCCCCCTGCAAGTTCTTAACTATGTATACATGTGACGACTGTTTACTGTCCATGCACTTTTATTCTTCATGCGCACTTTTGCTGACTGATGAGACACTTCAGAACAGGAGCTCCTTAAATTCCCCAAGGCAGGGTGGGGCCCCAGTAGCTGTCACCCTGTTACTCCTCTTTGCCCTGTGCCAAGAATACCAGCATCCTTGTTCCTACCTCAAGTGCCTTTCCTGAAGGCCAAGGGTGGAGAGGGTGTACATTGGCCACCTTGATGCAAACACAGTGAGATCTGTGCTAACAAGGTGGCAAGTGTGTGTTGCTCTGTTCAGGAGGGAAGGCGATTGGGACACCCTGAGAAGGCACGAGTGCTAAGAGAATGCAAGATGGTACCACCCCTTCCAGTTCACACGCCATCCAGTCTGTGTGAAAATATTGATCCAGGAGCACAAAGGCACTTCTGTTTGTGTGTGGTATTGAGTAAACCCCTAACCTCACTAAGCCTGTTTCTTCATCCTTAAAAACTGCAGCAGCATTATTATTTTTTTTTTTATTGAATGGTAACAATGTACATTAATGCACTTCTAGGGTACAGTGTGGTGCTTTCACATACAATCCAAAACACTTCCTTCAAACTGGTTAACACAGCCTTCATGTCATTTTCTTAGTTATTGTGTTAAAACGTTCATATTCTACTCTTAGAAAGATTCACTTGTACCCTTGTAAGATAAACCACAGAAGTGATCCCTCCAATCCCCCAGCAGCATTATTTCTGAGGGCAGCCGTGGGAGATAGGGAAAGCTTGTGGTGAGAGCCTCATAGCCTCGTACACAGCAGGCATTTCACAGAGCCCTGTCCTAGGATTTCCCTTTCCCCGATCCAAAGTGATGCTCAGGACACAGACATCTGAAGTGCCTTGGTTGTGGCAGAGAGAGAACTGATGTATTAGCCAGGAAATCTCTGAGGCACTTGTGGAACAGGAGGGAGGCAATTCGGCAGTGGGTGTGCCCGGAGTTCTCTCTGTTGGCACAGAGAGAATGAGGAAACTAGGAGGCAAGCGGAAGGCACCCTGCGTCCCCGCCCTCTGATAGGAGTGGAGCTGCTGCTCACTTAAGGCCTCTTTCTTTCCCTCCGCTATCCCTTCTTCTCTCCCTCCTCCTTCTTTCCCTTGACTTAGCAACTTTCACTGGATTATTATAAGCAGCAGGATTTCTTGACACTTTTACCATTCTCATGTGCACTGAAGTCAAAACACTACTTGATTGTTCTTGCTCATCAATATTTCTTGGTTGTCACAAAAATATTACTTCCTGAGGGACTGGAGCAGCTGCATGTTCCAGGATTAGGCTGGTCTTGTGTTAGTCTGGTCTCCTGTGTCAGGCGTACCCCTTGCTGCCATGCGGAGCACTCCCTGGTAGTATCAGCAGCATGGCAGCTTGCTCTCGCCTTGATTGTTTCCCCAGAAGGGCCACGTGCCTCATCCAACTTTCCCTCTTTTTTTTTCTTTTGAGACACAGTCTCACTCTGTGCCCTGGGTAGAGTGCCATTGCTTCTTAGCTCACAGTAACCTCAAACTTCTGGGCTCAAGTGATCCTCCTGCCACAGCTCCTGAGTAGTTGGGACTACATGCACTCACCACAACACCTGGCTAATTTTTATATTTTTAGTAGAGACAGGCTCTCACTCTTGCTCAGACTGGTGTTGAACTCCTGACTCAAGCAATCCACCTGTCTCAGCTTCCCAGAATGCTGGGATTACAGGCCCTGCACATGACCTTCAGCCAACTCTCTTGAGCATCTTCCTAACCTTAAGCCACATGCAGGCCGCAGATCCCACTTTGCCTGTAGGCTCTTTCTTGAGACATCACACCCCCACGGGTAAAGTGAGACAGGTGCTCTGGTAAACACAGATTGCCCAGGAGCACGTGCCTGGCAGCCCCTGGTTGGAGCTTCCTGCTTCTCATGTCAGCCTGGCACACTCAGCCCACCCGAGTTCTTGCATGATCCTCGTGCCTGGGCACGATGAGATCTGAATGGAATCTTTCTAACCAGCTGCTTTAATCCCACCAACCACCCTCACCATCATGCTGGCCAGAACTCTGTAAACACCAGTGTGAGCCCTCCCTCTGGATGAAAACCATGTCTGGTCTTGTTGGGATCTCCCAGCCCCAAGCACCCTTTACTGTGCTCCAGTCAACTGCTTAGAGTGGCACCACCTCCCTTGCCTCCCGTGACATACCACCTGTGTCTGATGACTCCATGTGTAAAGAGACCATGCCTTTCCTGGAAAATCATTACTCATTCTCCTAGATCTGGAACACATGTTACTGCTCTGTGTACATTCTCCCCTAGGAGTTTGCTGTCTGAGCTCTCTGAGAACAGCAACGCTGCATAGCAGTACTCACCACCCACATCAGGGTTACTGCACCTCAGCTGGTGACGCATCTGTCTCTCCTTCCTCCACTAGAGCAGCTTAAAGACAGGGGCAGTGTTGAATAGGTGCTTGTTACAGATCTATTGCTGTACATGGGACAGAGGCAAGAAGCTCTCATGAGAGAAGAACACACTGAATGCTACTACGTGCCAGACACTGTTCTAAGCTCAGCCCTCACAGCCACTCTAAGGTATGAGTACTTTGTTGTCTTTAAAGCTAAAGAAACTGAAGAACAGATTGGTTAAGCAACTTCCACAAAGCCTCTCAGATACTAAAACCATGCTGGGTTTGAACCTGAAGTCTCTGCTCTTAACACTATACCTATTGTAAGAATGAGATCAACAACTAAATATTAAAGCTTTAGAGACTTCAGCATTAAAGAGACCAGATAGAAACATTGGCCCTGTGTTGCAACCCCTAAGGCCCTGATCTCGATTGCTGCACAAAAGTACCAGGTGTGACACAGATTGGTTCAAGTGGTTAAGGAACCAGCCACATACACCTGAGCTGGCAGGTTCGAATCCAGCCTGGACCTGCCAAACAACAATGATGGTTGC